TTTTTTATTTAGAAAGTATATTGCTAAAATTAATTGTTAAGTTTTTATTATAAAAATTAATTTTAAAAAAATTAACATAAACAAATTTGCCTGTGTTACAATCTAAGAGATAAATAAGATCTTGAGACAGATTTTAATTTAACTTCTATTAATAATAATATAAAAAAAAATAATAAAAAAAAAATAAAATAAAATAAATAAAAAAATAAATAATAAACATGTTTGATATCTACTCACTATCAATGTTTTACTAAACTCAAAGAAAAGATAAAGCCTAAATAATAACACAAGACAATGAAATTATTATTAACTAAATAAAGTTTCTGATAAAAGACTAAATGCTCTTATTGCAAAAAAGAAAACTATAACATTAGTATATGTCTAAAGACAAAAAAGATGTAACTAAAATGCCTAGAAGTTTTGAATACTCTTATCTAAGAACAAGTCATGAAAATTCAGGAAATAGTTGCTAAAATGATAAAAAACTGTAGCTTTTATGATCTGAAAGCTTTGAAGTATCTGTTAGAAATATTAGAGAATGTTTGTCTAGAGAACAATCTGAATGATAATAACAAAAAGTTCTATATCTGCTCTTATATATCCTATTAGTTTTACCTAAAGAAGAGAAAGGTGCATTATTTGTACCTTCAGTAGTTTCAAGACTAAAAGTTCTTTTAATACTGTTTTGCTGCTAAAAAAACCTAATTAATAAAATACTAAACATTTATTTCATCCTAGAAGAAGAGCAAGATGAAATTAAAGTTAAAAAAGATAATAGAATTAGAGTCAAAAAAGCTGAATGAATTGGTGTTAAAAAGGTTAAAAAGATTGGAGTTAGAAAAAACAAATAAAAAGTGATCAAATACTTTCAAAAAGACATTAATATAGAAAGTACTTTTGTTATCAGTTATTATTATGAACATAGAATTAAAGTTAAAAAGAAAACTAATAACCTATTTGAACCAAAGAAAAAGCTTTCTAGAAGTAAAGCCAAAAAGACAAATATAATCACTGTAATAGCCACCTAGAACTATATAAGTTTGGCTCTTCTGTTAGTACATATAATGTTAAATATTGCTATTAATATGGAATGAGTATCAAAAAAGATGAACAAAAGGCCTTTGTCTATTATCAAAACCTTGCTAATATAGGTAACACTAATGGTGTATATAATCTTGAATATTGTTACCAAAATGAGCTTGGAGTTCAAAAGGATAAATATAAGACATTTAAATACTATAAAAACTTTGCAAATATAGAATATACTTTGGGCATTATTATTATAATAGAATTAATATTAAGAAGAATGAATGCCAAGCACTTATTTGGTATCAAAAAGCAGCTAGTATAAAAAATAATGATGGAATATTTAAAGTTGGCTACTGTTATAGAATGATAGCTAAGAAAGTCATAGAAACTAAAGCTTCTACTATCTGAATTCATTACTAAATCCTATTAGAAAGCCTAAACAAAACTTGCAAAGATTGAAACAAAAAAGTTAATAAATTTAGAAAAATGCCTCTTGAGAAATAAAGAACCTATACCTATTTGAACCTGAAGAATTGTCATCATTTGAACATAGTTTTGGCTCTTGTTATCAAATCAAAAACCTTGTCAAAAAACTAAGATTGAGTGGTAAGAGGCAGAATGATACTTGAAATATAGTAAAAGAATAATGTTATATTGAATTAAATAAATATATATTAGTAAAAATGAATTTTTTTAATACTTATTAGCATATAACTTTCACAATCGAATATTTGATCTTAGTAAAAAAATCCTTTTTTTTTTATAAATAACAATCAAATTTTAATAATTAAAAAAAAAATAAAAATAAAAATAATAATTTTTTTTATTTTTTATTTTTTTTTAGTATTAAGGTGAGGTCTTGCTCATATCTTTATTAGTAATTTTAGATGTACATATTAATATACTATATACTAAGATATACTAAGATTGTAAACTACAAAATAAAAATTACATACAAGAATTAA